GAAGCTTATTGATCGACAAAATTGACATGAAAGTTGTCTTAGGATCACTACGTTAGAAATTAGCACGATCGATATCCAAATTTATGAATTATATCTCAAAGTTTTCATGAAATATGAAAATTTTGAAAATTTGCAAATTTTTTGGTATATGCATTAAAGATAGTTTTATAAGCTCTTCGGCAGTAGTTGGACCATTTATTAAGACCCAGGAGTATTTTTTGCCAATTTTAATGTGAAAATAGAAAAATAAATAAACACTTGCAGAGAGCAAAAATGATATCCGATTTCCTATATAAATTATTAAAAGCCCTACACAAATTATTGAGAAGCTTATTGATCGATAAAAATGACATGTAAGTAGGCTTACAATTACTACATTAGAAATTAGCAAGATCAATCCAAAATCATGATTTATAAGTCACAGTTTTCATGAAAAATGCAAGTTATGAACATTTGCAAATTTTGTTGGCATATAAATTAAAAAATGTTTTATATATCCTTTGCAAGCAGTTTGATCAAATATTGAGTCCCAAAAGCATTTTGTCACAAATTTTTAATTTGTAAAATAGAAATATAAACAAGAGTAAATTGTAGCTATGGTCCCTGAACTTTACTCAAATTGGAGCAATGATCCTTCAACTAAAAATCCATTACCATTGGTCCTTCAACTCATTAAAACGTGTAGCTATGGTCCCTCAACTAAAAATCCATTACCTTTGGTCCCTCAATTTTAATTCAACTGGAGAAATGGTCCCTTAACTTTATCCAAATTGTAGCTATGGTCCTTCAAACATAACTCGTTTTGACAAAAAAATTTACGTAATTGACAAAAATGACCATAATTACACACTTTGATGAGTTGAGGGACCCTAATTAAATAAATGGTTATTCCAACATAACATATTTTGACAAAATTTTGAAGAAATTAATGAAAATGACTATAGCTACACATTTTGATAAGTTGAGGGACCAATGGTAATGGATTTTTAGTTGAGGGACCATTGCTCCAATTTGAGTAAAGTTCAGGGACCATTGCTACAATTTACTCTATAAACAAATACTACCTCCGAGCAAAAGTGATACCCGATATTCAAGAAATCAATGTATGACATACACAATTTATTGAGAAGCTTATTGATCAGCAAAATTAACACCAAAATTTGGCTTACGATCATTACTAAGTTTAGCAAGACCGATCCAAAATCGTGACTTATAGCTCACAGTTTTTGTGAAATATAAAAATTTTGAAGATTTGAAATTTTTTTGGTATACAAGTTGAAGAAAGTTTTACAAGATAGTTGGAAGTAGTTGGATCATTTATTAAGACAAACATTTTTTATGAATGTTAATGTATAAATAAATAAACATTGCCGGAGAGTGCAAATTATATTTGATTTCCTACACAAATAATTGAGAAGCTTATTGACCGATAAAAATGACATGGCTTAAAGTCACTACTTTAGAAATTAGCAAGATTGATGGAAAATCATGACTTATAGCTCACGTTTTTGCGAAAAATGAAAATTTTGACATTTGCAAATTTTTTGGTGTACCCATTAAAGAAAGTTTTATAAGCTCTTCAAAAGTAACTAGAGCAAAAGCATTTTTGGTATGCGCATTATAGAAAGTTTTAAAAGCTCGTCGGAAGTAGTTGGACAATTTTTTAAGACTCAAAAGTATCTTTTACGGATCTTTATTGTTAAATAGAATAGTACATAACCACTGGCGGAGAGCGAAAATGATATCCAATTTCCTACACAAATTATTAAGAAGTTTACTGAGCGATGAGAATGGAATGAAGGTAGCTTATGATTGTTACTTTAGAAATTTGCAAAGTCGATCTCAAATCGAGAATTGTAGCTCACGGTTTTTCTAAAAAAATGCAAATTTTAAACAAATTTTAAACATTTGCAAATGTTATTGGGGTTGGAAAAATAAGGTCTAATTGCTATATAAAATCACATAGAAAATCAAGAAATAATTCATATAATTATATATCAAAGTAATGCATGCACATGAGCAACCAATGTTAAATGAACATGACACAATGGATTAGAAAAGCCTGGAAATATGGTCGAGGCAAATGTTGGACACTATGTCCTTAAGAAAAGTTTACGCCCCATACAGTGCTCATGGTTGATCAGCGCTTGTCTCATAGGATACAACGACCATGTCCTTATAATAGTAGTACTCCAAATCACAGGACTCATGAACCACGATTGTGTTGAAAACTCTCATATGGACTCAATGAGATTCTCTAACATTTAGTATGTAAATGAAAAGTTGTTTTAAAGACTATAAGGGGCTTCTCTATTTATAGAATTTGAGATGTCTCTTTGGAAAACATGTGACTGTTCATGAAGAGTCAAAACTTGTAACTCTTCATTAGGATAAACACATATTTCCACAAAAAGGCATTGCTTTTAATCTCCATTCAATTAATAAATTAAATATAATAATACTAATATAAATTTTCAAACAATCGGTATATGCATCAAAAGGGTTTACAAATCCTTTGCAAGCAGATGGATCAAATATTGAGTCCCAACAGCATTTTTCACAAAAAATTTAGGGAAAATTTGAAAGAGGTCTAATTTTATTGCCCATCTTTTGAAATATGTCTAATTTTTTGTGACTTTTGACTTTTGAAATAGGTCCAATTTTTAGTCCAATTGGACTCATATCAAAAGACCCAAAAAATTTAAGGGGGTGTGGTCAAACTATGATTTAGAAGGATTTTAAAGGATTTTAAAAGTGATGGATTTGATAGGATTTGGGAAAATTTAAGACTCCCACAAAATCCATATGGAGTTTAAAGAATTTGAATGAATTTGGTTTGTAGATTTTGATGAATTGTGAGGGATTTTCATATAATTTTTTTATTTAAAAAAAAAAGGAAAATCTTTTCCCTTGCCCCACTGTACTTGATAGTCACTTTATCCCCTCCCTAGTTCGTGTCCCTTTTCACACCATCACGGCTCCATCTCTCTCTCAATTGAGCACTGCTATGTCGCCAGCAACCCTCATCAACGACTAGCCTTTTGTTCATTCGATTTTTTATTTATTTAGCTGATGTTCTAGTTCACTAGCAATTGCAACAACCTTTGAAAAATCATCCTCATCAGCCTCGTTGCCGAAATATGTTTCATCAGCAATTCCGGCAACATTTGGAGGAACACCGAACCCATCCTCATCGACATCTGGAGATTTGGATGAAAAACAGGTTATGCACCAACACCGACATCTGGAGATGCATATGCAGAGAATACATGGCCAAATCATTTTCTGCATTGAATTCACGTTCTAGGCACCGTCCCAGAGATTTAACAACCGCTGAATTTTGAGGCTTATGATGGAAAGAAAATGAACCAAACTTCTCATTTGCAAAGTCTCTGCTGTTGGTACCTCAAATTTCTAGACATTGTCACTACTCAATGTGGAGCATGCATTTGAGCTACTGACATTAGGGCATTTATTAGGATCAGTCCTTTTGGAGCTTTTCTTTCTTATGATGGAAGAAGTATTTTTGAAATTCTCATCAGACCAATGTGGCCATGTATTCTCTGCATATGCGTCTCTGGTAGTATTTGGTGTTCGTCGGTTTTTCACTGTGTGGCTGGGGTTGGTAGACATGAGGACTACCAAGATGGAATAAGATTTGAAATCCTAGGGGGTGAGGTTGGATTCTTTTTGGTCTTGGTTATATATACTTCTTGCTCTCAAATCCCACAAAATCCACCACTTATTGAAATCCTACAAAATCTTAATTTTCTGAATACACTTAGATTTGGATGGACTTTAAAATCTCTAATAAAATCTCAATGGACTACCTAGATTTGTATGGATTGTAAAATCTTTTAAAATCTTTTAGTTGACTACACTAGGATTTTAAAGTCTTTTAAAATCCTCTCAAATCCGAGTTTGACTACACCCCTCTTAATGTGTAAGATAGAAAAACAAATAAATACTACCATCGAGGGAAAGTGATACCCGAGATTCGGGAAATCACTATATATCCTACACAAATTATTGAGAAGCTCATCGATTGACAAAAAATGAACTAAAGTAGGCTTGCGATCGCTACTTTAGAAATTAGCAAGATTAATCCATAGTCGTGACTTACAACTCACAGTTTTCGTGAAAAATGAAAATTTTGAACTGTTGTAAATTCTCGTATACGCGTTAAAGAAACTTTTGCAGGCTCATCAAAAGTGGTTAGACAGTTTATTAAGACGGATAATTATTTTTTATGTGTAAAATAGAAAAAAAAAATCCCTGGCAGAGAGCAAAAATGATATCTGATTTTCTACACAAATTTTTACTTTAAAAATTTGCAAAATGGACCTCAAATTGTGACTTATAGTTCACATATTTTTTTTTTGTGAAAAGTGCAAATTTTATTGGTATACCCTTTAAATAAAGTTTTATAAGCTCTTAAGAAGAAGCTGGATCATTCATTAATACACAGAAGTTATTTTTACAGATTTTAGTATGTTAATAGAAAAATATATAAATACTGGCGGAGTGCGAATTGATATTCAATTTTCTACACAAATTATTAAAAGCCATACACAAATCATTAAGAAGCTTATCGATCGTCCAAAATGACACAAAAGTAGGCTTACAACCACTACTTTAGAAATTAACAAGATCGATCCAAAATCATGACTTATAACTCATAGTTTTTGTGAAAAAATGAAAATATTGCACATTTGCAAATGTTTTGGTAAACATAGAAAGAAAATAACTGTAGTACATCTAGCAGACCAGGTATGTCTGGATGTGGGCGGAGGTGAGGTAATGCCTAGGGTTAGGTTTAGCGTTCATGATACGTGAGAAGAAATCTAACCGTGAAGAATGTGTCGATAATATTTGGATGGCAATTTTGGAAGGCTAAAACATTTCTTGGGTGTCCAGAGAAAATGTGGAAAGAAAAAGTGGGTGTTCAGAAAAGGGGTGTCCAAGAATTGAATGTAAACTTAGATTTGACAATAACAGAATAATAAAATCAGACTAACATACATTTATTTTTGGTATTTTGTAAGGAAGTTGATCACTCCACATACATATATAGTTTTGTTCATACACAAATTACATTCACATTAGAATTCTTATGCAAAAAAACAATAATATACCTATAATTAGATTTCTTCAAAAGTTACTGAGGAAATTTTTGAACCATTGCGCTGAGAGTTTTGGGGATCTTTTTAGCCCATTGTTATAATCCACATAATTGATACCAAATCGAACAGTGTATCCAGAATTCCATTCAAAGTTGTCTAACAATGACCATAGAAAGTATCCCTTCACATTGACACCATCCCTTCCCAAAAAAACAAACGCACTGACTTCAATGCAATGATTAAATAACCAAACTATAAGAATGCTAGACCATAAATAGTCTTAATTAGAACTTACTGGATTGCTTTTTGAAGATAATAGAGGTGCCAGTAATGATAATCAACTCTTATGGTGTCATTAAGGGCTTCTTCAAGTGATAATTTGGGATCATTGAACTCATCAATGCCTACAATATAATGTGTCAGCGTGTAATTTTAATTTGTGGGCTTTACTTAATAACATTTTACACTGGACATATACAATTAATTTAAGGCCTAAAAGTAATTACCATTTTCAGTAATGTAAATGAGTGGATCGTGATAGTTTTCCTTTATGTAATGTAAAAGATCTTGAATTCCTCTTGGATAAACATACAGCCAGTCAGAAGCAGCCTACAACACCATTTGAAGAAAATTGAGGCTTTTATATATAAATTAATTCCCATATAAGTGATGCTAATAGTTTAAGCTAATTTGATGTGTACCTTTGGACCAATGGGCACCCCATTACGCTCATCTGCCACAACATAGATATGAATATCATCAAAATAACACATTTATAGGAATTTTAAATTTAGATATGAATAACATCAAAATAAAACATTTATAGGAATTTTAAATTGGTTGAAGGAAATTATCAGTTTGCACTGACATAAGGGTTTAGCATGTATGTCTATCAAGTAGCTTGCATTTGATGAATTAGGTTGAGGTGCATAGGCTGCATAATAGGTAGTATAGTAATTCAATCCGAGAAAATCGAATGAACCAAATAGCATCATGGATTGTTCCTTTGTGAATTTTGGCAATCGGTTTCCAACAAGACGTTGCATACTTTGCGGATAGTCACCACTAGTCAATGGCTCAGCAAACCTACAAAAACATGTGGCAATTACAAGAATCAACTTAATATAGATAGTATTGTTGATTATAATCAACCAATAAACTGCTAATTAAATTTCTAAATAGAGAAATGCTAAGGGAACTCTTTCAAAGTGAGACTTGCCATGGACTATTTGTCACCTCATAGTTTAATGTCAATTCCCATGCTAACATTATAAAATATTGTGCAAAAAACATGAGGTGGTAGAGAGTTTGTGGAGCGTTCGACTTTTGAGAGAGTCTCCTTAGCATTTATAATATATATTTACCAGCCAAACATGAAATCCAAAAATCGTAATGCTGCATTTTTATGTTGGTTTGCCTCAGAAATTGGTATAAACCAGTTTGATACCAGTGTTATTCCTATCGTGCCTTCTTGTGATGTCTGCACATGTTCAACTTTTAAATTGGTTAAATATTGTAGCCTGAAAATTTTATCCTCCAGTGACTCAAAATATTCTCAATGGGGACGAGATCCCCAAAAGAAAATGGCATGACCTGATATTTATTCTTGTACAATTTTACAGCTGCGGCGTGAGCTAGGAGGAGGTTGTGTGCCACTAAATATGGTTCGGTAGCCGAATTTCCACCAGTGCAGTTTAGTTGTTGCCAAGCAGAACACCGTCCCGGTGCCAGAAACCCACGTGTATAACCACCATAACTATAGCTCCATGGCTCATTTATTGTGATCCAATGCTTTACCCGGTCACCGAACTCCTTGTAACAAAGCTCTACATAGTTTCGAAAATGATTGCTGCATATTCACAAAGTGCATGAAAGATTTAGAATTGAAAAAAAACCCAATGGCATAATGATTACTAAACATATTTTATAATCGTTCTTATTCAAGGCTTACACAATTTTAGGGCTTAAGAAACCTCCATATTCGTCATGTAAAGCTTGCGGAAGATCCCAGTGAAAGAGTGTCACAAATGGCTTTAAACCTAGCATAACCAATAAAACCAAAAATTTGATTGAAGGATGTTTATGAGTGGATGTTACTCTTATTAATTATGTAATAATATTTGATTTAAGGTGAAATTATGTTGTGTCACCATTGTTTATGAGTTCATTGATAAGATTGTTGTAGTATTTGATCCCTTCCTTGTTCACGCCCCCACTGAGCTTTCCATCTAATAATAATTAGAACAAAATGAGAAAATAGGTAAATCAAACTATATATGGTTAGAAATTAAAGTTCAAAAAGTTTTAACTGTATGTTCTAGCTAGAACGACCAGAACACTTCAGTTAAAATTTCAAGGCCACAAAGGAGTTAAATAACTACAATCCTCATTTTATTACACAACAAACTACTCATCTTTCTATAACTTTTAACAATACCACAATATAAAGAGAGAAAGTAGTTATAATAGAGTGAGTTTATTTTCTCCAATATAACCCTTGATGAGTTTTCTTATTTTTTCTATAAAAAGTTTAGTAATGAAAAGCTTTAAGATTAAAGAAAATTAATAAAAAAGCTTAATGAAAATTTAGTAGTAATAGCTAATAAGGAAAAAAACAGTAATATTTCTGTAGATTAGTTGAGTTCATGGCAGTATCGTAATAAGCTGAAAAAGAGGCCGTAGCATTTTTATGAACAAGTTGAAGTTTGGGTGTCCGTCGCATTTTTGTAAGTAAGTTAAACTTCAGTGGCATCAGCTATTTATACACGATTAGGTCAATTGCTAATACACGTGTCAGATTTAGGGTGACATGTGCACAAATAGTCGGTGCCACAAAAGTTCAACTTATTTACAAAAATGCCACCTCTTTTTTTTCTTTTTCTTTTAATGGTTTCTTCTTTTATTGCTCTTCATTAAGTATTTTTGGTTAAAAAGAAAATTTATAAGGCCCTATTAATTGGTTTTTCCAAAAACAAAAGCAAAGTGAACTGTTATGTACAATGTGATGCAAATGCGGATGATGAACTTACTTGGTAACAATCTGGGCCACGAAATAGAGAATCTATAAGCATCCAATCCCATGTTCATCATAATCCTCACATCTTCCTATTATATGTAACACAAAAGATATTATGATTAAGAAAAATAAAATTTTTATTGACACTCTAAAATTTTATTATGTACTCTAAACTTTCTATATTTTGAAAAAATGATACACTTGAGGCGTGCACAATTTAATTTTAGTGTGACAATAACAGTTTCCAAATTAAAATAAGAATTTTAATGTTCTATCTTCATATTAAGGCCCAAAAATTTAGTCTACACATATTACGAAGGATGTAAAACATATTGGGTCTCATGTGATTTGAACCTTATAGTTGTGATATTCATCAACAGTTACATCTCCGTTGCTGTGATCCTTGATTCTATCTACAATTAAATTAAAAAAAACAATCATATTATTTAGAAAGCATAATAACCACAAATTATTATTATATGTAAAATAAACTTATTGAAGTGATACCTTTTGGGATTCCTTAAAATATTATTTTAAGTGTAATTCTAGGGATCACATATTTATACTACATTGAGATACCATATTATGGAGGGCAACTCACATAGAACAATTCCAATCCAATAATACATTGACATTTAGAGAAAAACTTGCACATAACAATGCATTATTGGACAATGGAAACCACGTGGCAATAAACGTGTTCTATGTAAGTCATTCTCCATCTTATGTGGCAAATGGTGTATACAATCAACATTTAATGATCCCACCCCCTTAGCGTAGATAATATTGTTTGTTCAAAAAAAAAATCATTAATTGACTTGGCAAGTACACATCACTTGCCACATTAAATGATACATGAAGATGGTACAACAAATATGATCTCCTCAACATTACTCTTATTTTAATGGTCTGAACAATTAATTTTGTTTAATTCTTCATTCCAGATCAACCATGCATAAGGTTAGAGAAATCCAACGCCATTAGTTTTAGCAAAAGAAAGAAAAAACACAATATTTCAAGAAAATACTTCAATTGACATGTATTCAATTGAGTAGTCAAAATGGTCTTTCTCTTGAGTGATTTTTTTTTTTTTTTTTTTTTTTTTTTTTTTCAACAATGATCTTACAAAACAACTCCGCCTATGTCTTACATGGCCGGTCCCAAGCCCGGATAAAGGAGGAGGGGGAGGGCGTCAGGTAGTCGACAGCCGGCACTCCATGATCACGTCGAATCCTTATGAAAATGAATCCAGAACAAAATCGCGCTAAAGCTAGGGCGTTACCCGTAAGTGGCGTGCTGTGTGGCCTGAGCACAGTGATAAGTGAGCAAGGGTCGCTGTATCTCCATCGGCACCCGGATGCAGTGTTAAATGAGCAAGGGGGCCATAGAAACTTCTTTTCGAACGACTCCACTCAAAGTTGTTTGGGAGCATATGCTCCTATCAACTTTACCCGGGACACACAAAAGAAGTACTTTGATCCTATTAGACGGGGGAGGGTGAAGAAGCTAGGACAGAAGGGTAGAGTTCAAGAGAGCAAAATGCGTTTAGGAACGTGGAATATAGGAACCTTAACGGGAAAATCTATGGAAGTAGTGGAAGTTATGGTGAGGAGAAGGATAAATATTATGTGCCTACAAGAAACTAAGTGGGTTGGTAGTAAGGCAAAGGATCTAGAAAACTCAGGGTTTAAACTTTGGTATTCGGGCACAAATAGAACGAGAAACGGTGTTGGCATCATCGTGGACAAGACCTTGGTACAAGATGTTGTAGATGTCAAGAGGGTAGGAGTGGCAATCAAGATTGTAATAGGACAAGAACTTATCAATGTGATTAGTGCGTACGCACCTCAAGTAGGGTTGGATACGAGTTCGAAGGAGAAATTTTGGGAAGATCTTGGAGACTTGGTGCAAGGAATTGCTCAGACGGAGAAGTTATTTATAGGAGGAATTTAAATGGACACGTGGGCAGGGAGACAGGCAACTATGGAGGTTTTCATGGTGGCCATGGTTTTGGGGAGAGAAACGAGGATGGGGAAGCTATCTTGGATTTTGCAATGGCATATGATCTCTTCTTAGCCAACACCTTCTTTAAGAAGAGAGAAGAACATGTGATCACCTACAAGAGTGGGTCGTCAAAAACACAAATAGATTTTCTTCTAATGAGGAAAGGGGATCGTATAACTTGTAAGGATTGCAAAGTTATACCAGGAGAGAGCGTGGCTAATCAACATCGCTTGTTGGTGATGGATGTACATATCAAAAGAGTAAGACAAAAGAACAAGACTTGGAAGTGCCCAAGGACTAGATGGTGGAATCTAAAAGAAGAAAAACAAGCCATTTTCAAAGAGAAGGTAATCACCCAATGTGTGTGGGATAGAGAGGGGGAAGCTAGCCAAATGTGGGATTCCATGGCTAGTTGTATCCGAAAAGTAGCAAAAGAGGTATTAGGAGAGTCCAAGGGCTTTGCCCCACACCAAAAGGAATCTTGGTGGTGGAATGAGGAGGTACAAACAAAGGTGAAGGCTAAGAATGAATGTTGTAAAGCCTTATACAAGGAGAGGACTGATGAAAATGGTGAAAGGTCTAGAAAAGCGAAGCAAGAGGCGAAGAAAGCTGTCAGAGAAGCTAAGTTAGCGGCTTACGACGATATGTATAAACGACTAGATACCAAAGAAGGAGAGTTGGATATCTATAAACTATCTAGAGCAAGGGAAAAGAAGACAAGCGACCTAAACCAAGTGAGGTGCATCAAGGATGAGGATGGAAAGGTTCTTGCTACAGAGAACGCGGTTAAAGACAGATGGAGAGGTTATTTTCATAATCTTTTCAATGAAGGACATGAAATGAGTGCTTCTTTAGGGGAGTTGAGTAACTCAGAAGAGTGTAGAAACTACTATTTTTATCGTCGAATCCGGAAGGAAGAAGTGGTTGTAGCTTTGAAGAAGATGAAGCATAAAAAAGCAATAGGCCCAGACGAATATACCAATCGAAGTGTGGAAACTTTTGGGAGAGACAGGTATAACATGGCTCACTGACCTTTTCAATAGGATTTTGAAAACGAAGAAGATGCCAAATGAGTGGCGAATGAGCACTTTGGTGCCTATCTACAAGAATATAAGGGCGACGTACAAAATTGCATGAACTATAGGGGTATTAAGCTAATGAGTCATACAATGAAGCTCTGGGAGAGAGTCATTGAGCATAGATTGAGGCAAGAGACACGGGTTTCGGACAACCAATTCGGGTTCATGCCAGGGCGCGCTCAACCATGGAGGCAATCTATCTCTTACGAAGATTGATGGAAAGATATAGAGATGGGAAAAAGGATTTACACATGGTCTTTATAGATTTGGAAAAAAGCGTATGATAGGGTCCCAAGAGACATTCTTTGGAGGATTTTAGAGAAGAAAGGAGTACGAGTAGCATATATCCAAGCTATAAAGGATATGTATGAAGGAGCAAAGACTGCCGTAAGAACTCATGAAGGACAAACCGAAAGCTTTCCCATAACTGTAGGATTACATCAAGGCTCATCCTTAAGTCCTTACCTTTTTGCGTTGGTAATGGATGAGTTAACACGACATATTCAAGATGATATTCCTTGGTGTATGCTTTTCGCAGACGATATAGTGTTGATAGATGAAACTCAGGAAGGGGTAAATGCAAAGCTTAACCTTTGGAGAGAAGTGTTGGAATCTAAAGGTCTTCGCCTAAGCCGATCAAAGACAGAATATATGGAGTGCAAGTTCAGTGCAAATGGAGGCCAAAACGAGTTAGGGGTGAGGATCGGAGATCAAGAAATACCAAAGAGCGACCGTTTTCGTTACCTAGGATCTATCTTGCAAAAGAACGGAGAATTAGATGGAGATCTCAACCATAGAATACAAGCTGGATGGATGAAGTGGAAGAGTGCATCCGGCGTGTTGTGTGACCGCCGTATGCCACTGAAGCTCAAGGGAAAATTTTATAGGACGGCAATAAGGCCGGTGATGCTGTATGGCACAGAATGTTGGGCGGTGAAACATCAACACGTACACAAAATGGGTGTAGCGGAGATGAGGATGCTTCGTTGGATGTGTGGGCACACGAGAAAGGATAAAGATTAGGAATGAGGATATCCGGGGTAAAGTAGGAGTAGCCGAAATTGAAGGAAAGATGAGAGAAAATCGGTTACGGTGGTTTGGACATGTGCAAAGAAGGCCTACTGACGTTCCGATTAGAAGATGCGACTATGGGACAGAGGTTCAGGGCCGAAGGGGTAGAGGAAGACCTAGGAAAACTTTGGAAGAGACTCTAAGAAAAGACTTAGAGTACTTGGATCTAACGAAGGACATGACACAGGATCGAGCACAATGGCGTTCTAAGATTCATATAGCCGATCCCACTCAGTGACTTTGGATTTTCCAAGTCTCCAACCGAGAAGTTTTCATCACTCGGGAAATTAAGGGAACACTACCCCAACCTACATGCTCCACTCAGAAAGCTTCAACATACAAGCTTTAACAAAAGAAAATTCAAAGAACTTAGCGAAGAAGGCTTTGGTGTATTTAACACAATACGTTGAAATGAAGGAAAGCTTATTTATTGATATCCCCGATAAGCTACAAATATGTACATATACATGAGTCAAAATAAGCACACAAGAGGGAGCCTTCACAAAGGTTGCTTAGGAGAAGTCTCAGCAGTCGGTAGAGCCCCAGAAAGAGAAGGCACCGGAGGGGATCATTTTGGAGCCTCAGTACTGGACAGAACCCTAGAAGGAGGAGGCATCAGAGGTTGATCATTTGGAGCTTCATTACGCGGTACAGCCCCAGAAGACGAAGGCAATAAATGCCTTTGGAACAAACCCACAAATCTCTGATGATCAAGTAAAACCTGACCATCAGTTTCCTTCATCTGGTCAAGCTTCCTCTTCATGTTTGTAGCATAGTCATGTGCGAGCCGGTGCAACTGTTTATTCTCATGCTTGAGCCCTCTAATCTCCTGTTTGAGACTCATCACTTCAGCCGCCAATGTTCAACTTGGCGGGTTCGAGCAAATAGGCGTTGGGCCATATTAGACACAGAACCTGCACACTGAACACTGAGAGCCAGCGAATCCTTAACAGCTAACTCATCAGACCGTTTGGAAAGTAGTCTGTTATCTTTGGGAGTGAGAAGGTTCCTGGCCACCACCGCAGCGGTCATATCATTCTTCATCACGGAATCCCCAACGGTAAGAGGACCAGTAGGGGAGACGAAGGATGGGCGCCATATGTTGTCTGGAGAAGGCGGGGCTGCCTCTTCAACAAGGTTCAAGTCAAAACGAAGGTCGGAGGGGCCAGACATTTTCAAAGGTGTTGAAGAGAGAAGAGGTCGGACAAATCAAGATCTTAGAAGTGCAAGAATGAAGCTTCTACTGGTGGAGATTCAAG